ACAATTGGTTAAGAGTAGTGTAATTATTATTTTAATGCTCATAACATATTATTCTCTTAATATACTTTTCAACAAATTCGCTACACTAGCTTAGAATTGCGAAACAAAATATTCGGCGAGTGAATACCTGAAGTCATAGGGGAAATTTTTCTACAAAAGAAAAACGGGGAACATTTTGTACTTTCTGAAAATGCTCATCATGAAAGACTAGTAAGAAAAGTAGTCAATCAATACGTTCAGATTAATCTTATGATGAATATACAAGTTAATTTGTTTGGCATTCGAATGGAGGATTCATAATTTTAGTATTTTCACACTTGAAATCACGGATTGATCTTATCTAGACTACCACCGAAAATCTGGAAGTACTGGACGACCATTTCGTTCTAGGATGAGACTACTGAGAAGTGTTCATCTACGATTCCGCACGTAAGGTTCGAACCCAGGACGTTCGGTCTCTCAAGCAAATGTTTAATCACTAGACCGTTGAGCCAGTATTCAACAAAGTTAATATATAGGGTTGCACAAGACCAAGGATTGTTTGAAGTTTGAGTTCCTCGTGCATGTTCATAGATGGGCACTGTTAAGGAGCTCCATGCCATGACGAGGGTTTTCAGTGATAGTCCATCTAGAATCAGCTCGTGATTTCAACTTTAATTCGTTTGGTGTTGTTTCTTCTGACAAAATATTTACTACTAAGCAATAAAATGAACATTACAATAAATAAGCCAACTATGAAAGATTATTCCCATTTGACAAACATTCTACTCAATTGTAAGACCTATTTTTTGTGTAGAGTCATGGTAAAGAACTAACTGGAAATGAAATTTTCTCTAGAATTTTTTTAATATTCCACTTGGATTAGTTAAGATAATAAACTATATAAAAATAGTAGTTCTCAACTAGTCACTAAATACGAAATATTCATTAAACTTTTAATAGTTATGTATGTATGAACGCTTTACTGAATGGATCAATAGAAATATCTTGGAAACTCAGATTTCCGCTTACGTAAAGAATATGAATCTAAGATTGTAAGAAGAATCATACCACTGTTTATAGATACTTAAACGATTCATATTCAATGTATAGGTTGATGAGCTTATAGAATGAATGGAATTACAAGATTAATATTTAGAATGAATACAGATTAAGTAGAACGAGAGAAATATTATACCAGATATTAAATTATGCAATTTATTAGATGACATACTTTAATGACGAAATCAGCGTAAATCGGAATGTTCGTATACTAAAGGGATAAAAATCCATCAACTCAAATCAGTTCGAAAATTCAAATAATTAGGAGCTGTAAGAGTTATTCAGCTTAAATCAAATCAATGTAATAAAAAAGGTTTACTTCACTTCATTTGAATGAAAAATTGGCACCTCTTCTGTAATTAGAATCAATATTTTTTCTGTTATTCAGACAATTTTTACACAAATAAATTGTTTTCAACACTGTGTGATTGTGAAGTTTCATCGGCTTTCTAGCGAATAAATTTAGCATAAAATTTGGGAAAAAATGACATTGGGATTCATCCACAAGTAGTTGATGGGATATGTAAAACAAACTATTTGATCCAAACGATGTTCCGCCGAATATCTTTTGTTAAAGCCACTGCAGTGTATAAGAACTCAGGTGGGGAAGTCAAATGTTTTTGTAGAGCAAAATTACAGAGTTCCTTCCTAATATATAAAAACCACACATTAACTACATTATTTGTACATCTTTCTTCTGTTGTCTCTTACATGCATCATGATCTTTATAATTCTGTTGTTATTACTTCACTTTCTGTTTCCCTTTCTATTCTCTTCAATTCGATCTTCTGTTGAAAGACACTCCACTTCCGATTGCTGCTATATACTATTTATATCGGCAAACATAAATAGTATGCACTACACCACTAACGTCATCATTGACACCATTACTAATTTGGGTTTGTATCAAACTTTAATCGAATCACCATTCAGCTTGCTATTTCAGATAACAGAGTCAGGAGAATCGCAGTTTACTTCACTAAATCTCTTCACACTTTTGAGTCGCTGGTAACATTGGTGTAAGCATAAACTAATGAAATTAAAGTAGAGGTGAGATCATTGATGTCAACAGATATTGACTGTTCCAAAAACCTGTAAGCCAATTAACGATTTTATGAAGTTACTGATGAAAACAATAACACAATCAACTAATCGCACCTGGCACAACTTAAAAGAGAGAATGTCTGCAAAAAGTATGTTTTCCATCTTTAAATAAAACTGTGACTCATGTTGTTTATAAACTTCTTTTTTACATCATTAGTCTCACATAATCTATCTATATCTATACAACCAGGTAATATTGTTGGTCTTAATATGAAACAATAAACTGATAACTATTGAGTGATGTTTCTAAAGTATATAATTATTCATTCCATTGTTTTTTATACAGCTAACTTTCAGTTGCTTCTATTATAGCGAATTAAAACTAAACAATGCTCAGCCGATCTCTACTATTTCAGATAACTAAATGTGCAAATCCGAACATTGAAACAAGCAAAAATAATCGTTCATGGTGCCTATAACACAATCTCTTATACATTAGTGCTCATAAGATTGGAGAACCATTTTTACATATGGTATTTTTTGGAGTCCCTCTGCCATCATTTGTTTATCACTAAAGACTTTCGTGAAGCCCCAGCCAGCTCATTACATCGTGAAGGTTATGAGATGAGAAGAATCAACATTACTTGTACAGGAAACATTCAACTCTTATACGAAATACTTAGTTAAGTGTCAAATTTATGCTGTAGCAATTTTCTGTGTGTCGAAGCTAACTACTTTTTAATGTTGTTAGTAGATTGACGGTAGTTGTGGAAAATATCAGTGCTTGAGCGTTCACCATGGTGTGATCGTCTACAAAGATATTTATTAAATCAATCCAAATATGTCACATTTACAATGACACTAATCACTGGTGAAGGCCCACGAGAGAATTACAAAGAGGATTACAAAGAGTACAGCACCATTTCATTAGATAAACAAGAACCAATATATCTAATTAACGACTGTCTGTATTATGTTATTCATCTTGAAACTTGAAAACAAACTGACTTCCTAAAAGAAATCCATAATTTATACAGTATTTGGGCCATTTTTACTAGGGAAATTTTCCAACTACAGTGGACAGGACTGTGGGACACAATTACAAATCAATAATACACAACAGACTTTTGCAAAATAATAAGGCAACCAGTAAAAGTCAATAAGAAGAGCACCTAACTGTTAAGGGCTTATTGCTATTTATAAACAAAGCAGCTTATCAGGTTGCAAACAGGATAACTGTATTCTAATCCCCGTTACTTGAAAGTAATGAATGCTTGGTTTATGTTTGAATAATATTCTTTTAACTATGCGATTTAAGTGAAAGTTCTCACGTTTAGAATTTCATGAAATTCTAAAAAATGATGCTCATCAGATGTGTATGGGATGTTGAAATAGGATGTTATCCTAAATACATCTCAATTTCAAGTCTTCTTACGATTAAAAATGAATTTTAGAAAACTTATAAAAATACTTAATTTTAGAAACGAAACTTCTTTGGCAGGAGTTGATAATGACAGAAACTGAGGTTTTGCAAGCAACGAATATATTTGTTTTTTACGATCGGTGCAAAAATAGTACACTTGCAAATTTCAAACGCCTTTGTAGACAGAATAAACAAATGACTGGTTGGAAACAAGAAAAAATAACCAAATAATGGCAATTAAGTGTGCTTTATTAGTCTTACGTGAAACGTAAAATTAAAAATAATGTTATGGTATAAAAGTGCTTATTTATGAACATCTCAGAAATACCAGTTTTTTACACTTTGTCGTAAGTAATAAATGCTCTATATCTTTATTGAGCCTGTTTAAAAAACGTGATTGGACTTTTAAATTAGTTCCAAAATATAAATTTATGTAGATTAAGGACACAAACGTTTTAGTTGTTGTTATCCTCATTCAATAGATACATATTTTTCTCGATAGTAGTTGAATACTAGGGAAAGGACTGTTAGGAGACTAGACTTCCTTGAGTTCACGAACCAATTTGGCCTGAAAAAATTATTATTATCAGAAATATTTGTTCTGAATCAGGTGCCGGACCTAATATTGAAAGTGCCATTTCGTTAGCTTAACAAACGAATTTGTCAAGATTTTAGTGATTATATGCAGATATTATCAATTTATTTGGATGAAACACCTGATATTCTCAAAGACTACACTGACTTAAATAGGAGTATCCATATCTTAACAATTGGTTATTACTAATAAAGGCGCTCCAAGTGATGAAGCCTTGACTAGCTATAGAGTACTTTGACTAGACCTCACATGCGTAATTCACACTAGTTGAGCGGCGTCGAGATAATTGAAAATGCACTTCAATGAATAAGAAAGTTATTTGTTGGGCTGAGGCAAAATAATATCTCTAATTAAAAAAGGTGCATAGGGAAGTGCAACAGATAACAATCTTAAAACCAATGCTACCTCGTTTCAACATAAAAACCTTCCTATCCTTCCATGAGGAGATATTTTTCAAACGTTTAGAAACATATAGGAAGAAGCTAAACAAAAATAACGTTGAAGAGTTTTAGGAAGATTTGACTAATTTGATATAGTAGTCCGAAATCTGAAAAAACCAATAAGTACCGACAAGTGCATCATGATACTGAATGTCTATCAAGACGCGAGTAAATCCACGTGGAATGATGTAAGTCTACTTATTATATGGATGAATGATGATAATGATTTTAGAGTCCCTTATAAATCTCGGCCTGAGAAAACGACTTACACCTGAACATCGACTTTCACATCCTAATATCAATCAATGGAATCCTTTTCCATAACATCTAATAACAGGTCACTCTTCAAGTACATCATAAGAAAAATCCCATTAAAAAATACCTTCGTCGCCCGAACTAATATAAAACTTCTTACAAACTATTTTTCCTGGCCAAAATGGAAGAAGAAGTACAGACTGTATTGAAATATTACTTTTATACATTTTGTGGGTATATGTAAACAACTTAAAGGAACAGAATGAAAAAGAGCGAATTCAAAAGATATCCAATCACAACAAGATCCCATTAATTTCGAAATGTTTCTCTGTGTAGGGACATGAAACCCGGTAAACGTTTTAGAAAAATAAAATAAATTGACTTTGTCTGAACAATGTGTTTCCTAAGTATATTATAACAGCAAGCACTATTACATACGTACATCACAAGGCGTTGAAAACACGGAGTTTGAAACTAAACAAAGGATATTTATCTTTTTCGTTTTGTTGGTAGTAACGAAAAAAGAAAAAGATACAATACAATAACAAAGCAGATATGCTGCACAAAATGAAACCCACATTATTCGCCCTCGATACAGAGCCTTGGGATTGCATAACAATTAAAAAATGTTAGATACATAGTGAAAAGTAATCTCGTTTAGTTTCGCTTTAGAGAAAACCAGTTGATCGTTTTCTGTAACTCGTCGATCTTTCTATCCTTCAGTGACAATAGATTCTCCAGTTTCCTAAGTTTGGCATGTAATATTTCAATAGTCTCATTCAAAGTTATGCACTGCTGAATTTTCTCGTCAAGATAAACACGGGGAACATATTCAGAACGTTTTGTTAATGTACACTTTGGTCTTTGGTCATTCATGTATACATGCGCGTTTGGACTATGTTCCCGTGCAACAGATGTCCTTCCAGGGTATTTGACAGGATGATCTAATGAAGGTGGACGAATTCCTGGGAGAGACTGAGAATTCCCCATTCTTTTGTTTCGAGATTTATTCACAGGAGATTTTGAGTCATCATGGACTCCACGAGCATGTGGATAGCGATCGGCCTCAGGTTGATAATCATAAAACTTGCCTTTATCATCTGTAACCATCCGCTCAATCCTAGTTCTGAGTAACAATAAAACTTTTTCGATAGTTCCTGGCTTGGCAATAGATAAACTTTCTATAACGTCATCTGAGAGCTCAAAATTAAGCTTTTTGAAAACTTTCCAGTTCAAAAGTTGCCAGTTTTTACGTTTGGACTCAACAGAGTTACAAGTTGGGAAGTTATGTACGTCTACAAATTTAGGAAAAAAATACTTCATAACTTCAGCCATCAGAACGCCATCTGAAAAATCACGAGCAATGTTTCTCTTGATTCGAGATAGGGGTATCTTGTCAACCCATACATAAAGATCCTGCAGTAGCGCATCATCCATATCCATTCATATTGTTTTCCCAAACCAAAAGTATGCATAACAATCACTATGTTGAATAACTCTCCGTTGTGCAGACAAACAAATTATTTTGGATTGTGCCAGGTTACATCATATGCCGCTATGCTATTTTACTATATTAGGGGAAGGAAGCCATGATTTTAGTCGTAGAGAGTTATAACTGTAGGGTGTGTCATTTGGTCAACAGCCTATGGACATGATTGATGAAAATCTAGTTTGTGAATAGTTTCTGTTATTACAGGCACTTCAGGAGAATCTGACTCGACTTCAAAGTTGGGTGGACAACAACGGACTTACTCTTAACACTTCAAGGTGTAAAGTAGTCTATCTGCGACACGTCGCAGATTACAGTTACAACTTAGGAAACCCCTCTTTAGTAGTATCCCGAGTCGAAAACGATTTGGGCGTCCGGGTGCCCTACGACTTAAAGTCTTAAACCAACTGTGACAGAAATGCCTTTCGAGCAAACCTTACACTGGCAACATTGAAGTGCATTTTTGGCCAGTTTGACGGGAGAACTTTCCACATAATCTTCAATAGTTTGGTTCGTCCCCATTTAGAGTACAGAAACGTAGTATTTCCTCCTACACTCCAAAAGGATAAGGACAATCTGGAGCATATCCAACGGTGAGCCACGAAATCAGTTCGGGGACTCAAACCCAACTTTATGAAGAGCGCCTCCAGTCACTAAATCTTTACCCATTGAAGCATAGGCGTCTTAGGGGTGACCTTCTAATGGTTGACAGTATCCTTAACACTTCTGGACATCCTCTTAAACATCTACTTAAGTTTAGCTCCAACACAAACCTAATGGGTAACGCCTAGAGACTAAAGACACAACACAGAAGAACGGATAGTAGACACAACGTCTACTCCTTAAGAGTTGTCAAATGCTAAAATTTGCTGCCGGTTGGGCTTGTCTAAGCGACTTTCCAGTACTCTATAAAGAAGCAACTTGACCTATTCTTAAGGACTAAGGATAATATATTACTATGATCTACCAACTTCGTTTTTCCTCTATTATCGTTAATATAGCCAGGTTCCTGCCTGGAGGTATTGGTGATCCACCGCTACTAGACACGGAAGCCTGTTAAGCAAAAGCTTCTTCTATTCCGTCCACAACCATTTGAACCTTTGACTACCGAGCAATGTCATTTCGAAAATGACAACTCTACTAAAGATCGGTTCTTCAACCGCACTAAAGGTTTGGAATTATTCAAAAATCTGAATCTAGTAACTTAGTAAACGAGTTGTCAGATGTCGTCACGCTTAGACGGCATTTTTACAAACGAAGAGTTACTTATTGACCAACCATCAATCCTGAGCCACTTGGATAAAAGTAATCATGCTTTTACAGCCTTCGACCCATTCAACAAACATGAGGTGAAACATGCTACTAACAACAGGTGTTGGAAATACAAACTGTCAGATGTTTCAGCTTTACAGATTAATCCGCGGGAGGTGGTCTGGGAAGCCCATCCTAAACCTAATACGGACACTCACTGGGATCTCTTACTGCATACGATCTTATGTGCCACATAACAGTCTGTCCTGTAAACGGTCCCCAAAATTTCAGTCAATCTACAGCAGTCAACAATCGCACTTTTCGATTGCTAATAAGCAAAAGGCACTGATGAGCGGAAAATAAACGGACTAGTGACAACACCAAATATAGGAAGTTCAAGCAAGCCGTGCACAAAGGCAATAATAGAAGTCATGTTTCAGTATCAAATAAAGCTTATCAATTAATTTGCATCTAATCCGTTAAGCTTATTCCGTCATTCATCTTCCCTTCAACAAGCCAAAACAAGCGTTTTTGAATGGTTAGGTCCAAATGACCCAAGTAACCACGAGGATGACGCTGCCAATCTTGTGACAGGACAGTACCTTCAGACATTTTAATTACCACATACCAACTATATCGGCGAGAGCTTCATGTGCAACTTAATAGGACGCCTTTAATTAGACCTGGGCGCTAAGTCGGTATATCAGAAACTGCATAATCTAATCAGGGATACTTCTTTTAGCCCGAATATGGCCAATTCTGGTATATTGAGGGAGGCGGCCTCAATCTTAGCAAAACCGCTTAGAGTGATGTTCTCACATTCTCCAAGCCGAAATACGGTACCGGAAAAATGGAGGCTGTCTCACACTACGTCAATTTTTAAGGAAGGTTGGCGTAGCGAACCTTCAAGCTACCAGCCGGTAGAACGTTTCTCAGAGCCCTCAAAAACTATGGAATCCCTGCTATGCAGTGGTCTGTGTGATTACTCAATGTCCATAGACTTCTTTTCACACCAACAGCGCTGTTCAACGAGGTGTCTTTCTCGTATAACAAATCTGCTGACCGTAGTGGACAGATAAGCAACCATCCTCGATCTCAAAGAGGTTTACATCACATGCCTTGATTTCTTCAAAGCCTTCTATAGGGTTAATCGTAGATGTCTAATTATTAAGCTTAAACGGATAGGTATCAAATTACCATTAATTGATTGACCTACTCTGTATCCAAATAGTCGACATTTTGTGGTCAGGGTAAACTTCACTTTTTCTCAGGCTAGTTGGGTTCACCCATTAATTCACGTTGATGACCTTCTTCGGCAGGCGCCGTTTGATTTACCACTTTTTGCTGATAATGTGAAACTCTAGAGAAAAATATGAAATCCAGATGACAATATAGTGTTGTATATAACTTCTAGAGCAGGTACACGTCATTTTTAAAGGTATAACCTATAATATAACACTGGTTTGCATATAAGATGCATCTTAATTAGGATTGTTAAATAAATGAAACCAATATAAATAAAAGACAGTAGATTAGTGCAGATGTCCAAGAGAGCTGATGATTAGGTTTATGTTTTAGTATTGCACTATCAGTGCAGTTTTTAAAATCTTTTAAAAAATAGAACCACTTACACGTTGCGTATCATCAGGGTTTATTTCTAGGTAAAATACATCTTAGGTATATAAAAACCAGCACTTCAGGAGGTTTTGACTTGACTTCAAATTTGAGTAGGCAACAACGGACTTAACTTTAACACTCCAAACTGTAAAGTAGTCCATCTGAAACATGTTGCAAACAACGCATACAACTTAGGTAACTCCACTCTAGAGGTATATCAAGTTGAAAAAGATTTAGGAGTGCAGGTATCTCATGATCTGAATTACTACGCTAACTACAACAAAAATGCCTTTCGAGTGAAAACTTTGACTTGATAACGCTGACATGCATCCCACTTAATCTCCAACAATTTTATTCAGTGCCACTCAGAGTATGGAAACATAGTGTTTCCTCCTTCACGCAAAAAGGATAAGGATATATTTAAACGTACCCAACGGCGAGCCACGAAACCAGTTCGGGGACTGAAATTCAAGCTATATGAAGAGGGATTCAAATCACTGAACCTTTACCCATTAGAGCATAGGCGTCTTGGAGGTGGTGATGACTTACAGTATGCCAAACAATTCCGGACATCTCCCTAAATATCTGCTTGGGCCCAATGCCACTACATACCAAAGAACACATTTTGTCGAAAATTGGAAGCAGACATCGAAAAGATTAGTAGCAACTGTAAAGTATTGACTAGGACAGAGTTCAATGGAGAACGCTGGTGGGCGGACTATGCTCCTTCACGAGGAGTAACAAACGTAAGTAAGTAAAGTACCACAAATGTAGATGGATTTTCTTATTAGACGATTGAACTTTGTCAGTAAGTATCTCTTTTTTAAACCAGTACCTGAATCATCAATTTCCTACCTTTCGAATTTTTAATATTTTAAATTATATATTTATCTGTAGTAGTACAAAAGCATGTTTTTACATTTCATGTTTCGCAATGTTCACACCCTGTACTATATCTCACTGTACTCATTAACTTCAGCCATTCATATGAAACATAGAATCTGTGACAACTCAGTTCAAGTTGCTACACTATATGATCTCATAGAGACGAAATTGTTAGAGCACAACTCAAAGTCCTATTGTTAGTAACAGCTTGTGGTGGTCCAAAGAATATAAGTAACGAACAAAGAATATTATGAAAGTAAAACAGAATTTTAGGGCTCACGAAAGTGACGAACATGGATGTTGAATGCGTCTACACCTTTCAACCGATTCTAAACCATGTCATCCAAAGTTAACTATCAAAGTCGCTCAGACCAAAACCAGGTAGTCATTATCTATGGATTAACTGCTAACTGTTGCTGTTGAACGCTTAGTCTTTCTGCTGAGAAGTCGTAAATTACCTATTCTTACCACGTATAGACCACTACGTCATTCCTTTGACACTTCATGGGGTCTAAATTCATATCGAAAAGCTAAACAATTGGATTATATCTAAAAGATTACATTTAACTCAAAGTTCATCGAGAGGAACTCTGTGTCGTTTCAGGTGCTGTATTGAAGGAGAAGTTTAATACTGTCACCACGTGTATGGTGAAGGTGCGACGATTCATTAGGGAAAATTCAACTTGTTATTCAAGTTTTCCTCGACTATTCACCCTGATTTTACAACCGTACATGAATCCTTAATTAAGGACAACCACTTATTTGTCTCAAATTAATGCAAAAGAGCTATCCTTTGACTTATTCATCCTTTGTGACAGCTCAGTATTCGAGCAGCTATTAAGCTTGTAACAGAATGGTTCATCTGGCTACTCATAAATGCAGACGTAAGAAGGTGGTATGAACATGCATACAGTGTGAAGACAACATGGTTCAGGGATCATAAGTCGATTGATTGAAGGAATCTCCGACACGACGAAGGCGTCTCCAATATATGGCTCCACCACCGAAATCTTTACCACATATATTCTCTGTTACAGACCTGCTAACTGGATAATTCATATTCTGTCCTATAAATAATGTTTATTTCGAGATTTATCAATTGTTTGATCACCAAATTTACTTTTACTAGGATGGCTAAAAGTGGACGACGGAATCCAAATTGATACGTCAAGTTTTGCAGGCAATGTGTTGCAAACCATGTACCAACGCTCGATAGATTACTTGTACACCTCCATTTATTTGCTCGTAAAATCAACTAGTGTGTAAAACCATCTGTAATGGAAAGATACCTCTGCAAATCTCTCCACAACGTTTTTTCTGGACAGTACTATTGTTTACTTGTTTCTTCTCCCTGTCGTGTATTTTAACCTTTGTTCAGATCTTGTTTAACTACACCTTTTTCTCAGTCTTCCACGCCTGAGCTTTTATTATGTGATTTTGATTGAAGATTTATCTTTTGTTACCTAATTTTCTATTGCATGTTGCCGGACTGTTGACAGTAAGGTCGTGTTTGACTAAGCTCAAGGTCACGGCGTGTTTCAGTGTGTGGCTGTTAATCTTTTTACTGTCTGATTTGGAGGATTTCTGGAATACCTGCAGATAAATATTTGATTCCATTTAGTTGGGAATATTTTTATTGATTCTCAGGTATCGAACCCTTTGGTATTAACTGTTTCTTTTGTTGGTTAGCGCGCTACTCTGCGTTAGAGAAACTTTCGACTGTAAAGTACAGGCTGTACTGTTTGAGGTGTTTTATATTTTTGATACAATTTGTTCCATTTCCCATATTAGAACCGTTCAAATTAAGCACAGAGTTTGATATAATTGAGTACGAGTGTCTCAAAGACGCTTTGTACGCTATACAGAAGAGCGTAGTCTGGCCTATTCGAATACATTTTGGTTCGTCAGTCCCACGTTCAAACCGAATACTGGCAGTCTGGGCGTTACAATGTCTATCACAATGCATCTTTTCCGGTCGTTTGATTTGAATATATCCCGTAACCCCATCAATAGAATATCGGAATTTTCATTTCAAAGAGAAGAAATCAAACGATGTAACCTACCAATAATGTGAGGGCTTCAAAATATGTGTTCGTAGTCGTTTTAAGTTCCATTTTGGAGGTTATATGTGTGAAAATCCCTCCATGTATACACTTGTAATTTATTTTTATTGATTCCTTCAGTTGCACATTTTGTTGGTCTTTTTGATTGCATTTGAGATGTTGACATTTGTATTTTATCACCTTCATTTTTCTTACGCTTCTACTGAGTTTCCATGTTCCTACCTGCACTGAATTTATGTTGTTTTAGTAGATACTTAGTCTTGGCGGTAACCATTTTGATTTGTTCTTCCTTTGATTGTGTTGCTTGCTTTGACTGTGATTGTGTGCTTTTGATTGTAAATTGATGCACTCTTCAAGAACTAGAAACACTGTGTGATAAAGCAACCAAATATTATCTTTCTAACGAATTTGCAAGTGACCTATCCAGAAAGGATAGGGTAGCATTTATTTAATGCGCTTGATTACATTGCCGATTGAACAATTATTGGTTGGATAACTGGAACCGTCATTTACCCAATCACCTTGTTTTTATTTCGACTGGGCAATAGCGCGTATCTAAACTACCTAGACAGATATTCTTCAGTTCATATGGGTCTAATATATTCTACCCACCCTTTTAAGTGGTTAACGAATCCAACATGTGTTCGAACATGGTTAATGCGCTTCAGTTTCTGCTAGAGTGACGTGCAATTAATGTCTTACTCGGCATAAGGTAAAAGTTTACATGCTACCAGAATAATAGAACTATTCCACGATGGTTAATATGTCATTATATGACTACTTAATCTACTCCACTTTAGATGGAAGTTATATCACTAACCATCTTGACATTACGTAGTTTGTGCTAAGGACCTCTGAAGATTGCGTTCAGGCTGGGAATAGAATAATATATTTAATATGAAATGCATGAAGTCACATAGTGGTGACCACAAGTGAATAGCCGAGCCATGTCATACCTATCATGTCTTCCGCCTTCATTATTTCTGGTCTTCTCTTATTAATAAATGTGGAGTCCAAATCTTCTCGTATCTACAGCTTCAAAGACCTTATGGTTGAGAACCAATGCTAAATGTAGAACATGCCTTGACGATTAAATTTGTATCTTGGTCTCTACTTCTGACAAAAATATATTGAATAACACCAAAATATAGGACTGAAAGCATCAAGAGCAACTTACAGAAGTATCTTTTATTGACTCTTGCAGAGTTCTGCATAACACGCTGCTAATTTGAGCAAGTTTTGAGATTGAAAAAATTATTTCTCAGCACGAAAGTTTTTTAGTTGGATGCGAACAAACAATTTTTGTTAATTTCGACTTAGCTGACAGGAAAACAATGCCTAGAGTAGTGTCAATGAGCATTGTTGTCTTGTTTTCCGTAAATGAAACTCCAAGTTTTTTTTGAGCATCAGTCTTGTTATACACCGATAATATGAATAATTAGAGGACGGACTGAAACAAAAAGGATGATTCAGAGCTCCAGAATGATTTACAAAAATCGAAAGTAAGGTTTGGTGTTTTTCGACCACAAATTAACACCAACAAATACTTTATGGAGCATATTTAACAGTAAGCTGTATATACATGAACGACAAATAATCTTAAGGAATTAGTTTTCCAGACGTACTATGGATGCCACACGCATTTTGAGCTGGGCAATACCTTTACACGTAACTCCTTCACAATCGAAGAGTACCAATCCAGTCAATTCAGGAGTCAGAAGTGAAGGGATTCGAAGACATATTTCGAAGGCTATCAAGATGTCTGGAATCGTTTTGTCTAACCTGGCTAATAGTTGCAAGGAATGCATAGCATGGTGTACTCGCTTGTGATGTAGTGCTAATGCGTGACCACGCGCCTTCAGCCAGGGCATTTCCAGTAAAATTAATAACGTCAGCATCAGTGTCCAAGACTTACAGAACTATTTATTTCTGGGATTTGTTTATCGCCGCAGCACCACAATAAAGTTGATTCATGAAGTTTCAAGCCTGCTACATGTCGAGTGGGTGATTAAACGAAATCCATTTCACTTGTTACAGAAAAAGACTGAAAGCGATCCAGTCGCAATCCTTGAATTATTTAATTTGTCTTCTAGTTCAGTGGGTTTATGAGGGCACTCCAATGAGTTCACAACAGAAAGTAGGGAAATACTCGTCAGGATAAGACTAACTTTTCCATCAATTCGTCAGCCAGAAAGACTTCCTACATTATTGCGTGATTGGAGCCTTATTTTTCGATAAATTGCTAAGGAAATTAGATTATCTGAGAGACCTTCGTATCCAGGATTAGGACAGATCATATGATACCACCACCTTTAAAATGATATTTCAGACATTTTACATTATAAATAAAATCCAAAACGAGGGCCCTAGGTAGGTGCTTTATTTCAAATACCGATCGGATATACAATCAAATGAAGCCCCTGTTGAGGGTTTTTTGAAATACTTCGGTCAACTAATCGCAAAGATACTCGGCACCCACAACCACTGGCGCGAAAAGTAACTAGTGTGCTACGAAAAGTTTTTTAAGGATGACACTCTTTACTAGTGGGACACAAAATGTCTTTAATTCAGTTAGTATTGGCTCAAATAAAACTATGAGTGCTGCACAAAAAACAGCCGAAGTCCAATCTCCTCCAGGAGATACAGTATCGTGTCTTCGCTTCAGTCCTGAGTCCATGCAAACGACCTTCTTGGCTGCTACTAGTTGGGACAATCGTATTAGAATTTGGGAAGTCCAAGCCAATGGTTCTACCATTCCCAAGGCTGAACAAATGCATCAAGGGCCTGTATTTGGGGCTTGTTGGAGCACTGTAAGTTGCACTTCTGTTATGTATTTCAAACATTTTCGGTTAGGATGGTTCAAAACTTTTCAGTGTATCAGCAGACAAAACTGCGCAAATGTGGGATCTTAGTTCAAACACTTTCACGCAAGTTGGCGTACATGATGCTCCCGTTAAAACTGCTCATTTTATTACTGCTCCAAATTATTCTTGTTTGATGACAGGTTCATGGGATAAACGACTTAGGTAAGCTGAGGTTTGTCTTTATCTATAATACCTTGTTTCGGTTAGTTCTTCAGGTCCGTCTAACCCAGCAACTAGTAATATTCCCAGCGATTAGCAGGTACTATATATTTATGAATACTCGTCAACTTTAAGTAAAGGTAGGGTAAGCTCGTAAACTACTAATATAAAGTGAGTATATAGGAACAGTCTAGTTGGTTTATGCATAAACATTGAGTCCTAAGTCAGACTGACTGGTAGCATTTGCCGTTATCAATCTTTATATGAGTCAACTACACTACCAGGTCTAAATTACTTGGTGATAAACCCTGGTTTCTAAATGGTTAGAGTATGTTTGTACATGTCATTCATTTTCGTCCCATCATACTTACTGCTGACTATCTGTGCTTTAAGAACTTGATTATCATTTATCGTAGCACTTGTATTCTCACATTGGTTTTTGATATATATACAACAGAGAATAGCAACACTAATATTTATTCTTCAAAACATTTCTTAGTAAGTCATCCGTACTCGTTATGCAAATAATCCAGTATGATTTTCCTAATGATAGTCTTACCAGTGCTGTACTACTTTAAGCTTTAACAGGGTTTGTTTTGACTAGATTTCTTAACATAGTCGACATTAACTGTCATGATTTCCCGATTCATATATATCTTCCAGGTTTGAAATATGTAGTTATCCTAACACTCGTACAATCGTAATTATTTCTCAGACTTCAAGGAAAGTTAAATAACCTGTTTCCTTTTATCTCTTCACTTATGAAAAATAGACGATTAAAGTCGACAGCCATTTGGCAAGTAAATTCCTCAACTTATTTTACTACATATACGATCCTTCAGTACACTGGAATTTTAACCTTTTTGCTTTCTACCCGACGGGACGAATTTGTTCTTAAGCCACTTTTTAAAATAGCTTGGTCCACAGCATAACACTGCCAGCTAGTTTTGGTACTCATCAGTTTATAGGCTTGTAATCAATCGATTTGCAGTGTTTAAATATTCCGTAGAGAGAACGTTTTCTCTAGGGATATCGATTTTCTCTTTGTAACAATGAAATATTCTTGTATACAGTTGTACCTTTGGTCAGTCTGGAAGCTAAAAGTGCCGGTGACCCATACTACATTACTTGAAAATGAAACTTTGGTAAACTAGTCTTATATTTAAAATCCTTAACTAGTACTATGACTTGCAAATGAATTTTGTATTTATACCGCTTAGATAGTTGATAAACTGAGCTTACTACCCCTATTGGAAGTTGGTTTTACGGATTCCTCCCTGTAACTTTTGTCGATTTATGAACGTCCTGATATATTTTGGAAATTTTTTATTTTAATAGTCAAGGCGTGAAAATCGATATTTCATACATTGACATGTTTCAGTATGCCTATTACGGTGTATTTTATATGAGCACCTAAAAAGTGGTATAAATAATGTTTTACTACTTTACCTTCAGGAGCTTTTCAGGTCGGTCTAACAAATATGATCCTTAAAATGTTTAGATTTGTTACTTTTAAGAATTTCTATGGATAGTCATCTTCCAATTATAGATGAATTAATCTCTTTACAGATTCTGGGATACAAGACAACCTCAGCCTATTTTGAACTTGGATTTGCCGGAAAGGATCTATTGTGCTGACGTCCATTATCCACTTGCCCTTGTCGGGACTGCAGGTCGGCAAATATTTGTGTATAATTTAGAAAATGGTCCCACTCAATTCAGCCAATTAGAGTCTCCTCTTAAATTTCAGGTCAGTGTGTCTCATAACCTCTTGTCTTTTTAGTAGTTCTCAAGGTAGTTGGACATAACTTAAAACCAACGTAGATATATGGTGTACAACCTGCTTCGGTTTGGGCACCCGGGAAGTATCACAGCCCTCACACATATCAAATGAGATCTGTGTGGCGCATATGTATATGGTGCCTCCTTGTACCAATATCTATGTGTTAAAATAAATAAATAAATATGGTGTACAAACATTCTTACTAATTTTTAGGTTGTTATTCGTCTAATAGTTTGTTCCTTTATTCGTTTTGGTACCCTTCTAAAGTGATTGACAACTAGAAGAAATAAGAGAAATGTATGACTGCATACGCTTTCTATTTTTCTGATGATACAGAGCAGTTAGTATTTATCACTGTGACAATCTCGAATACCTATAACATCACTTTAGTTAATAAATCAGTTGATGAAGTTATAAATCTTCATCGACTGAGATGGTTGGGCCACGTGTTGCGTATGCCTGAACACCGATTACCACGACGCGCAATGCTAACCGGTGTTAGGAATAATTGGAAGAAAGTTAGGGGCGGCCAAACCAAAACGTGGCATCAGTGCCTGAAGACACTAACTTCTAGTCTGAGCCATGTTGGTAGATTCAGACTGCCTGGTTGGGGTCCGCGTGACTATCGTAACCAATAGTTGGAGACTCTTGGTGACATGGCTCAGAATCGATCACAATGGCGTCGGTGTATACACTCTCTGTCTTCCTTTAAACTAAGAGATTAAAATCACTTCATATCTTTCTTTCTACGAACGAATTCTTTCTTCCTGTACTACCTCCTTATATGCAATCTTTCTTCTATATATTGCCACCACTGGATTAACTACTTCTATGAATCCGGTGTTCATCTTGTTGTGCTAATGCGGTATGGCAACTTGGACTGATGCATATATATGCCTGGTTCTACGTTGCAGCTGACTGACTGATTCTAGTTAATAGTTGCTTACACATTCTTGACAACAAATGTTGTCCACTTTCCAGAGACACTCTTAAATGCAGATATCTGTCAAAAATCCTTTACAGGTATCATAAGTATAAAACACTCACAAATACCAAAATAGCCGAGATTCTTCGTTGTTTCTAGTGACTCACCACTAACACTGTGCACATGTAGTCTCCTCTCCGTATCGGAAAATCACGTCGCACTTCTATCGTACAAACCGTACGCCACGTTTACTAACACTGATTCCCAATAAATTAAGTGATATTTAAGTAGTTTGTGTTTCACCTCGTGGTCAAACTGTATTGTCCTCATACTCGGCATTAAAGTCTCTTTAGTTTATAGGTGTCCTTTCTCACTATTAACTTCATTTAAAACTTTCCAAAATATCATCAGTAGGAAAGTCGAAGAAGGATTTTTACAAGTGCGTAACCACAATTAGCTTCATTGGTGGTTTGGAATAATGCAAAGAGGCTATTCTATACTCTAACTGAAATGATCTCAATGTATTATTCGACTCTCCAAACATCTTTTACCCTAGCAAATATTTTCAGAACATAGTTCTGTCCAATAAGTAAGAATCAACCTTGTTATTCAACAGTGAAACGGTTATTTGTTTATAATATTAATTATACTTGTCATGTTTCTAGTGGAAGACAAAAATGTGAATAATGTATTCACAACCAAAAGGAAACTAAATTTCTCACAAGTTTTTTAACGAGTTTCGCGGTACGCGCTCACTATTATGGCAGTCAGTATTGTCGACTCGCGTGGTAACAGATGTATACCCTGGTGGTTGTCACACGAATTACCTAAACAATGTGTAACGATAAATACGATTTTATTGCAGGGCGAACAAACATCCCCATTTTACCTTCCCTTTAGGAATTTCCGTAAATTTCCTTATTTTTCCCTCTTAGAAAGCAAAATTGGTCACCCGAGCATTGCTTCCTAACGTTTTGGTCTTTAGACTTATCTTAAAATTTTGAGTTCTAGAATTCGTGATCAAAAGTGGCAGATTAGTTAGCTAAGTACTTCTCAGCTTATATCAAAAATGTTCACTTCAACATCGAAAACTTGTTGACGATGGCAAAATGTTGCTCAGTCAGGAGAATCAGAAAAAATACTTATCAAGTCAAACGCCGAAAATAATTAAGCAAGATTTTTTCCATCTCACTGTTCTACGTTAATGTGTTGGCTCTGTCAATTACTTTTCCGTTAGAGTATATTTATGTGTATTCGTTGGAACTTGGTTGTGAATATAGTTTGCAGCCTCCAGTTATCGATAATTGTGGTGCTAGTGAATTCAATCGGTCTCAGACAACACGAAACGTAACACGAGTATCGATCTAAGTTGTCTCCATTAAGTTTCAACCAGAGTTATATTTTTTTCATTGAAATATTTCGTTAATTGTCTTGCAAAGCTACAGATTGTCATATAAGTCTTTCGTGACGAGCAACTACTCATTATCCCAATGTCTCTAAATTTGCTTCGTTTTAGTCTTAATTCATATGGTTTGGTTCATCACCTTTAAAAAATTTATTTACATTTTTTAATACTTCATTTGGACTTATTCTGTCACGATCTGTTGTTGCTTTTCAAAACTCTACACATTTCAAAATATGGTTTTTTAGCCATGCTAACTATTGATCTTTTTCACTAAAATGTACTTTTAAGCTGTAGTAGTACTAAAAAGCGTTGTCTCTCATAGGATAATTTATCTGGGTTTTTTGGTGAGAACAGAATCAGTTCCTTACTCAACAGTGAATAGTTTGCATGTTTAAATTAAAGCCAAAGATCATGTTTATGCTCTTCACCAGTCACTTAAGTGCAAGTTACTCGGTTATGACGGGGGGAGAAATAGTTGTGTTCATCTGTGGTTTTGGGAAATTATATCAGGCATGAGAAGTTTATATATTTGTTGAGTATGATTTCCGTGCTCACTCTATAGTTTTCTATTGGTAGAATTCATCTTTTTGTTAAAATTAAAGCTTCGTTGAGTGTTCTACATTTTTCACGAAATTCGTAATTATACATCTCTTCTTAAATTTTCATATTAACAGAGTCGTTGTATATCTATATTCATGGACAAACAAAAACAAAATCCTAGTGGATTTGCTCTAGGGAGCATTGAAGGGCGTGTCGCTATACAGTATTTAAATCCAACTACGCCTAAAGATAATTTCACTTTTAAATGTCATCGTTCTAATGCACCGGTCAACGGTTACCATGAAATTTTTGCAGTAAGTATTGTTTATTGTGCAATTCACATTCATGAAAATAATGTAAGTAAACTAGGTAATATTTATTTTCAGTCTCTGTATGAAATGAATCTTAATTTTAGAAAATTTGTTTCTACACTCGCTTAGCATCCAATAGGTTTTGACCTCACTTCTTATATCACGTTCTGAGTTACCCGGTAGTATCATCGGCTTTCATACTGTAAACGTAATGTTCGGCTTGTGAAGTTAGTTTGTACGTGATTACTTATTTACACTAGATGTTTAGTCAATTGTTTTCCTGAACATGTAACTTATTTTCAAAATTGTTTTTATCATTTTGAGACTCAGCTGTAAAGCAATCCTACAATCCCATTTTGAAAGGATTGCAGGATCCTCAGATAACATCATGATACCATACAGCTACTAAGTTAAAGCACGATGGTCCATACTATCAACTTCAAACATGAGGGTCTACATCACTTCTGAATTCGTCGAATCAACAGTTGATAATTCTTTACTGTGTATACTTAAATTCCAGTATATTAGTGTTTCAGTGTACTGAATGCGGTATTTTTAGTACCAGTGTAGAATAATACTTTTTGCTCTTTATAATTTAAGTCGTAATCAGCAAAATAGATTTATCAGAGTGCGTCATTGTTTTGCTTTTTCTCCATAAATTTACTCACACATACATTATTTATAGTCATGTGAGAATTTGATGTCCTAGTGTTGATCAGTAAATTAAAAGCATTCATTTTCATTATATTTTCGGAAGTATTTACCAATATTATTACCAACATATTGTAATCTGCTTAATGTTTCGTCCTTCCTTAGGTAAATGATATGGCTTTCCATCCGGTGCATGGCACACTAGCCACAGTGGGGTCCGATGGATGTTATTCGTTTTGGGATAAGGATGCTAGAACTAAATTACATTCTTCGGATTCTCCAGACCAACCGCTCACCTGTTGTGTATTTGATCCTAAAGGCCAAGTGTTCTGTTATGCATCAGGTTATGACTGGTCTAAAGGATATCAGTTCGCCGATCCATCTAAACCCATCAAAATAATGATGCGCTTGTGTATGGAAGAAATGACTCCTGGTAGAAAATCATAATTTAAAAGAGATTAGATAATGTATTTGTTCTTCATGTACATTTTAATATATTCATGTCAACTTAGTCTGAAGAACGGAACGCATATCAATGTACAACTTCAAACTGTATTTTTATAAAACGTTGACAAGTGTCCCTTTTTACTGCATCTTGTTCTTTTACCTTCGAGTCTATGTGTATAGCATATAGTTTATAGTTTGCTTTTTCAATATTATTACACATAAGGTCATTTGGTTTTGTAATAATTAAGTCGGATCCCTGATAATTCAATCGTACAACAAATTACGTTCTGTAGGACGCTCCTTCTGCCGGAATCACTATACATAGCTATGGTTACTATAGTATATATTGGTTTTATTTTAATTTTGATGATATCGTATAACAGAAATTCAGGAAAGTAAGAAGTACTTGCAAACCATGGTCGCTTAATGTTGTGTTTTGGGATACAATAGCTTAATAATTTCCTGATGTATTTTATATTATCAGATATTATTATATCAGATACAGATTGTAGTTTCGTATTCCACTTACTAAGAAATTGATGAAGTTAAACATTATTTGTTCATGAGGAAGATTGCTTATGATGGTTTTTTTAATTTTTGATTAACTATGGAATTAAATTTTAAGTGTACAGTATATAGTTGGTCAGTCGAAATCGACATACAACTAGATAAAATGCAGAATAAAAAGTTGGATTGCTCGCTGCTACATAGTAATCATCCAGATTATCAATTTCATCCAAGTATGTATGCGTTTGTGATTGGGAAGAATAAAAAGACTTAATAAAGAATCTAGTCAGTTAGTCATAAACAACGTCGGACGTCATAAAAATGTATATCGGTTTAAGTTATTATGTCACATAAGTAAATTATTAAAAAGTCAACTATGCATAGCGAAGAAGTAAAAATAACGATAATATATACAACAGTAAATAAAACTAGAAATAAAGGATATGATTCAAAAAAGGGATGAAACAGGAATATATGACGGACAAAAAGAATACTAAGGTTGAGGAATTAGAGGACAATGGATGCGTCTAAAGTGCCTAACTACCGATTAGGATTGTTTCGCTAGCCCCAACCAGGAAGTATACGCCTCTCCGCAAGTCATATTTTAACAGTAAAGGACTTCGCAGAGTACCTATAAAATCTTTGAAATGAAAGAGAATGGTATGTTGTTTTAATTTCATTAATGAGCGGGTCTGGACTCAAAGGCTACATAATTCCGGTATATTAGTTACATACTTTATTAGTTGAAATGAACAGAGTAACCTTATAAGTAGAATGGACAACGTTTATAAGTTTCTTAAATTACGATCGCTCACTCTCCCTATTGCCAAGTTGCCCATATTTCCAAATCACATCAGAATTTCGCACTACATCAAACTGAACATATCATTCATATTTTGGTGGTGCCCCTCGATAATGAATCCAAACTCCATAGATACTTTGAAAATGATATTAAAAACATTCACAAGGGCTGCTTTCAAAAAATATAAAACCCATACATTAAATATATAATTTACACGTCTTCTATCAGTTGTCCTTTACATACTTCATGATTCTTTCAATACTATTGTTATTACGATTACTTTTTGTTGTCTTCAATTAAATCTTCCGCTGGTATGCATTACTCTTCCAACTGGCGTTACATACTACTTATATCTGCAAAAGTAGCATACGCCATACTCGTCCCCTTTAACCAGTCGCTTTTGCGGTTGCTCTGTTCGCTGTGTCCTTTGCCACAGTTCGTGTCACACTTCTCGTCAGAGCGTTGAGTCCGCCGGTGTGCTGGTCCTCGTAGCTCTGTTGACCTGTAGAGCCATCTATATCTGATGTCCACTCAACACCCGGGACGTCTAGCATCTGCGGTTTAGAGGCCCGTTGAGCCATTCACATCCGATGCCCACCCGGCAGCCGTACGTTACACTGCTTCTCTCCGTGGACAGCAACTGTTACAGATGACGCTGCTCCTCCAGAACACATCACTTGATGTTACCTTACTGCACTGGACCTACCCGAATAGCGACTCCCTGTCCAGCCCTGTAACGATGTTAGCAGAACTATGCCCTCTACGCCTCCCGTTTGGCAGCGACACCAAATGTAGTTACAAGGACCTCGGGTAGGAAAGAAAATTTATTGTTTTACGTACAATCGCACTGTGGTTTAGCAAAATGTGAAAATTATACTGAGTGGTGTTCATTCTGTCATAATACCTTTCTGGGATTTGCCCTAACGGCACTGTCGTCGGTCTTGCGGAAGTTTTTGTAGTAAGTGGACTAGTCAGATATAATACCTATGGTTAAGAAACGACACGACAAAATTATAGCTTTGTACACGGGAGTTCAAGACTAGTAAGTTGGTATCTTTTAATTCATGGTTGATGAAAATGCAGTACAGTCTGGGGGAATGTTGATTCGGCCTCTATAAAGCAATTGAAGTCACGTCTTCTGGTAAGTTTAATTCTTTAGATAAGTTTTTGATATATCCAACTAATCTGAAGTCACAATCTAGGCAGTACAAATAAGGAACACTGAGGGTATCTGTCAATAAAATTTGATGGCATGAAAGAATGAATTATTCAAGAAATCCGAGGCCCTTGCCTGGTAGGCAAGAGCCACTTATAATTTTCACTGTGCACCATAAAGCATTCTGGTGACTTATGCTAGGAGATGAGATTCCATGAACTCTGACAGAGGTAGATATATAAAACACGAACCCACCATCTACAGCGCTTAACCTGTCATTACGAAATAACCGCAGGTCAGAAGACAAAAGTTAACCATCTGTGATATCGTTTGCAAGTGAGATTTCACAGAAAGCAATTATTTTTGGGTGCTTCTTGTATGTTAGCTCAATGAACTTGACATTTTTCGACCGTCTTTCTTATGTATACAAATGCGGATCTCAGACCGAAATCCTACTAGTTATTACTAAGTATCGAATCAACTTTTAGAGGACTGGCTGCCTTGGGCATTCTGAATAGTAAAGTTGGATCAACCGATCTGGATTGAGGCACTTAAACTTAAATCATTAGTAATAGTTTGATAAAGTGCCATGTAGAACTCCTGGCGAATAATATGCTTAACAGTCAACTGCCAGACGCTTAATGACAGCTGTCGTAGGCTCCTGTTGATTTGTCTAGCAAATCTGTGTTTACTTTCACAAATTCTTATACCTTTCAAAAGGACATGGGAATTGGTATATTGAGATTTAAGAGTGGCTGTCACCATATTCGGAGACTCCAGTATTACCTGAAATAATCTGGGAGGTGGTAATAGAATGAGGTTTGGTGGTCTGTTTCATTTTATTACTCGATTGACAAAAATAGCTGGTCAGGTTGAATTCGTTCTAAATGTATCACAATTGACGTATGTTATTGGGCTGGCTTGATTTCTACTTATTCAGTCATACGTTTAAGGAACCCACTTACTATAAGCAAACATTCTGATTTGTCTCTACACGAGCCAGGGTACTTTCTGAGTGAGAACCAATCAATAGACGGGATAACTGAAGACATTTAGCTGATTAAAACCTTTATATTAAATATCATTAATTTCACTGGTTTTTGGATGTATTTGTTTTACTTAACTTCTGAACTTGTTTGTTTATATCATTATTTCGAACATTTTGGTTTCTGTTTGTCTTGGCTTGGTAATTGGAAGTTTTTTTGCTCCGGGAACCTATAAAATTGAAGATCGACATACCGTACTTCAATAACGGGAAGGAGCAAAAACTTGGACGTAATATAAAGTTCTTCAATTTTGGTTCTGTTGTAATACATTGGATTCGTCTGGACATTTTGGGTCCAATTTCTGGTCATATTGGTCGAATTCGTTCGGATTAATTCTTATTTGTTTTGGTAACCGATTCTTTCGAACAAAGGCATACGATGGAAACGAGAAGCAAAAAACCGAAGGAAAATGACGAAATGGATGGTAAAATTTCTAAAGCTGTCTGTGGTATGTCTGAATTTAATGATGATAAACGTGATGATATTAGTGTTAATAGTATGTCCTCAGCTCAGTTTAGTACTTCTAGATTGAGGTTAGATAAGGCATTACTAAAGAAGAAAGTTTTGGAAAAGAGGCTTGAGTTAGAAAGGCAGCTTAAGATGTTAGAACTTCAAGAGGAGGTTGATATGGCCGAATTGGAATGTAAGGTCATAGAAAACGATAACAGACTGCCAGTGGACAGGTCTGAGACAAATGCTAAGGTGGAAAAGTACTTGGATTGTGACACTGCGTGTAATAAGCATTCCGGGGAGGTATTTAACAACACAAAATGCGATTGGATTAATGAATTAAAGGATACGTTACGTACTACGGTTAATAGTACGGTCTTGCCTAAGATTGATATGATGTTTTTTGAAGGACAACCGAGCCAGTACCACCGATTTATTAGTCAGTTTACAAGCATTATCGAGAGTAAACTGTCTGACAAATGCCAGTTGTTGTCATATTTGTCATACTATTGTAAAGGAAAGGCCAGAACGGCTATTGAAGCTTGTATTTCTTTGCCCAGTCATTTGGGTTACGATAGAGCCGAACAAATTTTATATGATCTATTTGGTAAAGAACACCTTGTCGCTCGTAATCTTATTACTGAATTACTCAACCACAAATCTGTTGAAGGATCCGCCGATGGTTTAACTGACTTCGCAATTAAGCTACTTAATGTATGCATAACGTTGAAGGAAATGGGGTATATGTCTGATGTGAATTCTACGGCTAATCTGGAAATAATTGTGTCACGTTTACCTTTAGAATTGCAGAATAAATGGGTGGAAGCTGCCGATAGGATCATGATGGCTGGTAGGGAGCCGATCTTTGAAGAATTAGTAATGTTTGTAGAAGAAAGAGCCAGGATTGTTCGATCACGTTTTGGTAGATTGGTACATTGTAACTCAAAGTTCCGTAAAGGTAATTATGAAGGCCAAGTTGATAGAAGATCACGCCTCAATGTAGTTAAGCGGGAACCAAGCACTTCACTCAAGACTTTAAGTTGCGAAATTTGCTTTGGTGATCACAAAAAGAAAGATTGTATGAAGTTATCGAAAATGAATGTTACAGAAAGGAGACTGGAAGTGAAACGACGGGGTCTATGTTACCTGTGTTTAAGGAAGGGTCACATAGCCAAGTCGTTTAACTCGGACATAAAGTGTGACGTTGATAATTGTAAGATTCGGCATAATCCATTATTACATATTGATGCTAATAATAAACATATG